ATTTGCGAAACGAGAGGCCAGACCTCGTTCGGTCCACGCGCTATGAAACGATCGGTATACACAGTATATACACAAGGTGTTCCCTTTGAATCGATTCAACGGAACCACGGCTCAAAAGTGTTTTCGCGACGTTGCGAAGTATTCGCCATCGGGAGCTCGCACGTTTCGACGAGGATATTTCCGTTTCGGACGGTCAAAGGTTGCTGCCGCGAATATTGGAACCCGCGAATTGTTCGTCCCTTTGTGGAAAGAATGTTACGCCTCTGTAAATCCAATAAGAAGATCGACGCCGACGTCGCCGAAAAACGCGATTATTATAATGTAACGTAACGCGTAAAATAATGATTGGAAACTGCATTGACTGTAAAAAAATTGCATTCCTGTCTTCTCAGTCTTTAATTTCGAGATATAACCTGTCTCTTATACACATCTAGATGTGTATAAGAGACAGGCGTAAATCAGTTGAATTATCAACGCATAAATCGGTAAAATTGCTGTCTCTTATACACATCTAGATGTGTATAAGAGACAGGCGTAAATCAGTTGAATTATCAACGCATAAATCGGTAAAATTGCTGTCTCTTATACACATCTAGATGTGTATAAGAGACAGGCGTAAATCAGTTGAATTATCAACGCATAAATCGGTAAAATTGCTGTCTCTTATACACATCTAGATGTGTATAAGAGACAGGCGTAAATCAGTTGAATTATCAACGCATAAATCGGTAAAATTGCTGTCTCTTATACACATCTAGATGTGTATAAGAGACAGGCGTAAATCAGTTGAATTATCAACGCATAAATCGGTAAAATTGCTGTCTCTTATACACATCTAGATGTGTATAAGAGACAGGCGTAAATCAGTTGAATTATCAACGCATAAATCGGTAAAATTGCTGTCTCTTATACACATCTAGATGTGTATAAGAGACAGGCGTAAATCAGTTGAATTATCAACGCATAAATCGGTAAAATTGCTGTCTCTTATACACATCTAGATGTGTATAAGAGACAGGCGTAAATCAGTTGAATTATCAACGCATAAATCGGTAAAATTGCTGTCTCTTATACACATCTAGATGTGTATAAGAGACAGGCGTAAATCAGTTGAATTATCAACGCATAAATCGGTAAAATTGCTGTCTCTTATACACATCTAGATGTGTATAAGAGACAGGCGTAAATCAGTTGAATTATCAACGCATAAATCGGTAAAATTGCTGTCTCTTATACACATCTAGATGTGTATAAGAGACAGGCGTAAATCAGTTGAATTATCAACGCATAAATCGGTAAAATTGCTGTCTCTTATACACATCTAGATGTGTATAAGAGACAGGCGTAAATCAGTTGAATTATCAACGCATAAATCGGTAAAATTGCTGTCTCTTATACACATCTAGATGTGTATAAGAGACAGTTATAATGTAACGTAACGCGTAAAATCATGAATGGAAACTGCATTGACTGTAAAAAAATTGCATTCCTGTCTTCTCAGTCTTTAATTTCGAGATATAACTTTTGATCTAGTTAATGGTGATTTTCGACGTTGTGCATAGATTCAACTGGACATGAATCACGGTAATCCCTCCGGCCAATTTGCAAATCGCGTTTGGAGACTTATTCATTAGTCTTCGCGAAGATGGATCGCGCTGGCGGTAGTTTTTTATGAGAACGATTCAACAGGAGAAAATCGAACTTCAAGGTTATGTCAAGAACAGATTTCCTCCACGTAAAAAAGGGTTATGTCAAGGTCATGTCAAGGTGATCGAAATTTTGATCGAATTCAATTCAATTTCAAGTTTACGAATTTAATCGAATTCGAATGCAATGGAATACAATTGGATTCGAAAGCAATGGAATACAATTGAATTCGAAAGCAATGAAGTACAATTTTAATTCGAAAGCAATGAAATGCAATTGAATTCGAAAGCAATTAAATACAATTTTAATTCGAAAGCAATGAAATACAATTGAATTCGAGACCAATGAAATACAATTGAATCCGAAACCAATGAAGTACAATTTTAATTCGATAAACTTGAATTTCGATGAACGCCGCGGGTAAATCGAATAGTTCAATTTAAGCCGGCCCATTCGGACCAGACACGCGTACCCTCGGATCGAGCATAGGTATGAAAGATCGATCGGCCCCGGATGTTGATAAATCCGCGTGGCTCTAATTCGTCGAATTCGTTGCATACGGGATCCGTACCCAGTGCGCGACGCGTCAGGCTTACACATCGGGGTCGCTCTAGCCGTGACATTTAACCGAGACATTGCGGAGGACCTTCTTAAGCCCGGCAGCTTATGCTGGACTACGCGGCAGGAGATAAATATTAATTTACCGTGGATAAACAGAAGGAGGTCCCGGCGAGAGCCGGCTGCGTGTTTTCCACATACGCCGGGAATTCTGTAAAGCCGATTACGCGTTTGAAAACAAAAAAACTGCCGCATTAATTAGCGAGGCGGAGGCGGTCGCGAACGACCTTGACAAATTCATTCGCGATTCATTAATCACACTTGAAATTCCTGCGACCCCCCCCCCCCCGATTCATTTTGTTTCGAGTTATTGGGGGCTTCGTTGGGTCGACGCCGGCCCCCTAGTCGCCGTTTCGTTCACCGGATCCCTTTATCTCTCCTATTTTTCTACTATTTCGACCTACTTTCCCGCGTGATTCGATACACTATGAAAGCGACTCTGCCAGTGACCCGAATCCCAAGGACTCGAAGCGTTCGGTTCTGGAGGAAAATTTGTCCGAAATTATTCGGGAATCGTCGCACAGGCTGCGATATCATCGAATAGTCTACTGCTTTTGATCAACAGCTATCAAAATGACCAGAGAAAAGATCAAACTTTAAAGACATTCGACAAATTTCAGAATATTTATATGTTTTCTTAATATTATATTAATATCAATATATTTCTATTTAACTCTCGCGTTTGGTACAATTTACGCCGAGAATTCGTATTTTCCAGGAAGATCCGCCGGCAGTCCGGCGATAACAAAACGAAAAATCGCGCTTTCGGCCGCGCGCGGAGGAACGGCGCGTGAATATTTATAAAATTCTAATGCGACGCGCCGGTGCGAATATGTTGAATGAAAAAGTTCCGCGGGTTTTATCTCGCGTTTTCAGATTACCGAAGCTCCTCTCGGCCGGGAAATTCAGGTTACGTCGGTGTAAATGTGTTTATACAACCGCGGTCTAGTTATTACGAAACAAAGTTTGGGTTCGGCGCGGCTTCGCGTACGCGCAAATGTTAGCTCAGAAAATCCAGCCTAACGCATAAAGAAAACACTCCGCGTGCAGCGTGTCTCGGACAAAAGGGCGCCGCCGCCGCCGCCGCCGCGGCGAGCCGCGACTGCACCGAGCGAATAAAATGCGCTAGAAAAATCGTACGTCGAACTTTTTGAGCTCGTTTTAAAGAGAAAAGTCCGATCTTCGAATCCGTGGCAGATTCATCCGCGAACAAAATTTTTCAAAGATTCTACGAGCGTTTGAACCAGCGGTTCCGAGGGTTTGATTCCTGCATACTATTTTCTTTTTAAAACGCATCACAACGATCGAACGCGTGCCTCGATCCTGTGCTCCCGTTGCACCAAGGTCACCGGAAGATCGTAGATCGCGACCGCAATTTCGGTTCCGCGGAGATGCGCGGCAGTCGCGCGACATCCTCGTCGAAACGTGCTCGTGTTCGCTTCGCGAACGTTTCCGCAGGGGGACGCGATCAGTTTGGAAACGGCCGTGGCGAGAGATCGATAGGAAGACGACACCCTGTATATAGAGAGATAGTCGGCGGAGGACGACACCGCGGTGTCAAGTCCACGACACCAGTATAGAAAACGGCGAGACAGGTGAGACAGGCGATGCACCGTCTCGAACGGTGCTCGCGGCTCGCGAGAATATTCGAGACGGTGCCTCGGTCGACTCAAGGTGGCATGCTGCTATGTTGCGTGACACACTATATAATATACAGATCTGTACACTCGGACAATGATCAACCCTCGGACGGCCACGCCTGGGTCGATTTCGACCCCGCGGTGCCGAATCGCGAACAGCTTCTGGCAGCCGAGCGGGGCTCCGACGGGTGTCGGCTCCAATTGCATCGACGCGATCGCTGGCAGCATTCGATTCTCCCGCTGATTTACCAGCTAGGTATTTCGTCATCGTAGTATATGAACGTACGATGCAATTAGTAATCGATTTGTCCGATCGCAAACGATTCTTACGCGGACGAGAACAGATTTTTATGCGAGATAAAAATCGTCCGCGCGCGTTTCAAGAGTCGGAAGTCGCTTAGAAACTTCTTCTTTTCTTTTACAATTGTATTAATATAATTATTATATAATATACAATTTATTATTTATTAGTTAATTAATATAGTATACAATTATATTACTGGAACGACAACAATGTGTCGACAGTGTTTGTTTCGTTCGCTTCTTCTGCTCTCTAAAATTACGGATGCCCATTATTCCCATAAACGCATAAAATCCGCGATTTAATAGTAATGTAACTCGTTGCATTCGAAGATCAAGATTGCCCGCGGAATTTTATATGCTGTCAGCGAACCGGTCGCGCGATTCGATTCGAAGAAAGTCGATTAAAATGACCACTGGGTCAAAATGTACCCAGGCATCGCCGTCGCAGTGCAGTAGTCGAAAGCGTCCTCCTTCCAAGGATCAAGTACAAACAGACAGACGAAGAGAAAGAGATAGAGAGAAATAGAGAGAGAAAAAGAGAGAGAGAGAGAATGATATAGACAGAGAGTGAGAGAGAGAGAGAGAGAGAGAGAGAGAGAGAGAGACAGTTAGGCATAGAGATAGAAATATATACATATGCACGTGACCGATGCATGTATATACATATATATGCACACACATGGATGCACCGTCTATCCCATATTATGTTGTCTATGCAGTTTAGATTTAGATATACAGATATATGTAGAGAGAGTACATATGCACAGCACATTGTTCTCTACTAGAGCTTACTAAATGCGTGATCGAACCGAGTACTCGTCCGAGAGTAACCTGCAACAGCGAAACAATAGCCTGTCACTGTCCCCAAGGGTCATCTTTCTACTTACGTCTAGTTTTCTATGCGTTTTAGGGGCGGATAGGTCGTTCACGGGGCACGCACACATTGAAATCGTCCGCGTTGCCCGACATCGACTGGGGCTCGCCGACACTCGCGTTAACCCGTTGTCCTGCCGGTGACACACCGGTCGATAATTAACAATCGGAAAATCGACACGCGGAATATTCCGCGGTGCTCTAACTCGGTCCGCCGACGACCACTACTAGGCGACTACAGTAACGTCTCTCTAATTGACGCGCGGATTGTCCACACAAATGGACATTTTTCAAAGAGAAGATACGATTGCTCGATTGTTATTGTTACGAATTGTTAACAACTATAAAAACGTGCTGCAAGGTTATATTATCTTATAGTATCTCCTCTTCCTAAATTGTCCATTTCTGTATACAGTAATGTCTCCCTAACTGACGCTCAGATTGTGGAGAAAAATGGACGATATGGGAAGAACAGATACGATTATTCGAGTCTTGTGCCTCGTTTTTATAGTTGTTGAGAATCGGTAATCATAGAAACAAGGCGCAAGACTCAAATTAATCGTATCTCCTCTTCCCAAATCGTCCATCTTTTTCTCCACAATCTGAGCGTCAGTTAGGGAGACATTATTGTACAACCTGAGCGTCAGTAAGGGAGACATTACTGTACCAGGCGACTACAGTAATGTCTCCCTAACCGACGCTGAGAAGATGCAATTTTTAGAGCTTTTCACCTCGTTTATTATAGCTACCGATCGTCGACAGCTATAAAAACGAGCCGCGAGGCTCGAATAATCGTGTCTCCTCTTCCCGAATCGACCATTTTTGTGCAGAATCCGAGCGTCAATCGGGGAGAATTTACTGTACTCGCGGAATATTCTGCTCGCGGTGTGCCCGGCGCGATCAAGAATATCTCACCGGTTTCGCGATTCATTTTCTTCGCGGTTTTATCGTTCGAACAATGCTCGTTCGATAATGATTTATCGCGGGAATTGTAACGGCGAGCGAGTTCATCGTGAAAATTGAAATCGACGCGATTGAAATCTTCCGCGATTTTCCACAATTCCGCCGTCGCGACGGATCCTTCCAATTTACAAATTGTTCCGTTTCATTTGTCATTTCATAATTGCGATTCGCTGATAATTCCCGGCGACGATATTACAACGCAACAATTTCGGCCCGATGATTCGAAGAATCATCCCCCTTCGATTTCTTTGTTTCAGAAACTCGTTCAACGATGGAATCGAGATACCCGACGAACGGAAAGGAAAAAGGAAAATCCGATTCTATTCGAAACGTTACGCTTAACAATTAATGTTTTATAGCGTAACATTATATTGGAAGTAAGGGCTTCCGTGTTTCGTTGCCTGTAAAAATAGGGAGCTGGTTCGTCGGCGTGGTCGATAAGGGAGAGACGGGCCAGAAGCGACGGAGCGTCCGCCGTGTAAAGTTTAATTAGCGACAACAATGATTGACAGTGGTTTCGGTCGATATACACGACGGTCAACGATGCAACGAGACGGAGCGTATAAATATTTTGTCGTTCCCCGGCGCGGCGGCGAAACTGTGTGCACGCTGGAAGCAACTTCGCTGTTAATGCTGGTATCGGCGAGCCTGATTTTCGTTCGACGAAAAACAATCGCGGTGATTTCAACGCGACCCGTCCTCCTGTTTCGCACCCTTTATTTTCGCTAGAAAAGCGTCCCGCGATTCGTTCGCGCGTTCGCTGTCCGAATATTCATTAAGCATCGATCGAACTCCCTTCGGCGAATGATTAATAAACAGTCTTTAAAATCGATTACGCTGTTCGGTTAAATTCAAAAGCGCCGCCATCTCGAATTCGGTGGAGAATTTCTTACAACCGACAGCGAACGCGTTTAAGATTAATAAGTTTACGCGTGTAGAGAGTTCCGTAAGGACTTTTTGCGAATGATCTTGAAATTACTGGAGCATAATTTCTGGACGAGAAAATGCGACAAATAATTGTTCGCTACTTTTTGTCGGAAATTATTGTCGCCCAAGACCGGCGCGCGATCGGACGAATGGAAAAGATTCTTTTGGACGCGATAAAAGCGATCTATCGAGGTCGATCGTTATTGGAAAAAAAAGAAATTGAAAATTGAAAATTTGCTGAACAACGAATCGTTGTTAAATAATGTAATATCGTGAATTTTCATTCGCAACGAAGCAATTAACCCTTAACTGCGCGCGAAGTATACTGATCGCGTACAAACGATTAAAAAGTGATGCCTGTAAAATTGTTTTTCAGTTTCTATTAGTTTATTAGCGACTCGTTTGTCGAGACTGCGAATTTTTAAGAATTCATGCGACAAAATGAACGCTCTTTCTGTTTCTAGCGATTAATTAACGAGACATCTGGGTGCCAGCAAGTTTCGCAACAGTAATTATTTTATAATAATATCAAGACATGGTAGAAGAATATCGAAAAATTAGAGATGCAAAAGAAGGAGAAAGATGATCGAAAGGTATATCGAAACTTACTATGATCGTATAAGAAAAATCACAGTCTACTTGAAACGAATAAAACTACTTGACGGACTATGGCGACACAGACTAATTCATAGTAATTACAGACAGTCGAATGCTACACAGCATCGAAGAGTAAAATATTATTTAATAAATACTTCATTATTATCGGATCGTCGAGAGTTTGTCGAATAAGAAACAATTTAGAGTTGCGCAATCATAATTGAAAATAATTTGCTAATAGCTAAAAAAACCGATCTGCCATTGAACGAGTAAACAGATTTTAAAGAAATCTACTATTCCTATGATTATCGTAGTAATTGAAACGAGAACGAGGACAGAGGATAGAAACAGAAAGAGGAAATTTGTTTCGACGACTTGTCGTTAAGTTCGGAAATCAATTTTAATTAGCCTGCTTCGCGATAAACTATCGTTAATGTTTGGAGAACGAACACGATTCTCGTTCCGATAAATCGCCACGATTGTTGTAAACAATCACAAGACGTTTATTCGGCGGTGAATGCTCCAAACGATTTCAATAATAATCGGCCCATGGTAAAAGTGGCGTAAATTTTCAAACGCGATAAATTTATAAACATCCGCAGTCTATAAACTAAGCGTTATTCGTTGGAATCTGCTCTTTAATTATGCCGCATATTAATGATCAACGGTAATTAAGGACATTAATTAAATCGAGCAGAGCGTCTAATCGGATTACAATGGAAATGGAAATTTTCAAACAATTCGAACATCGGGAATGATAACGATCGCTCTTCTGGCAGAAACAAAACGCCATAATTCATAGACGCGTGCCAAATAACATTTTGCGGCTCGATAAACGTTTACGTTATTCAATGGTTCCGGCGACTCTGTAAATTATACCGGCCGACTGCAAAATGCGACAGCAGTTTACACACACCGTGTTTTGATAGCCTGATTGTTTCGCATCATTTGTTATTTAACACGGTACTAGCCGCGGCAGCAGCGGCGACGGTAAAAATTTCACGAAGCAATGCTTTTAACGTGACTGCAATTTATAAACGAAGCCGCAAGCAGTTTATGAGCGTCCATTGAAGAGCATCATCATCGTTAATTATTCATCAACGCTGAAACCGAGCTGCGTGTTCATTAGAAGCTTACATCGGTTTTTATAACCGGACTGTCAACAACAAGAGAACGTTCATTTCGGAATCGAACGAAACGTCTTTCGATGTTACAACACATTTCAAAACTTTAAATTGCTCGCCGATGATAATTACAAACGGTAATTATTCGATTATTCGGTAAGATTGGACAATTTTACGATAAAACATTGGCACGCGAACGAAATGATTAATTTGTTCAACGTCTTTTAAAAGGAATCAGAAATGCGAATTTTCAAGCTAAGCTTGAAAAATGAAGATATTTCAGTTTTGAAAGAATTGTAGAAATAGCATCTTCGTAGAAACACTGGTCAATTCAATATCAATGTCAATTTGCCAAGTATTTTTATTCATTTTCCAATCTCTAAACGTCTTCCGCGACGTTGAACGAACGAAAATACGATCCCACACGATTCCACTGGAATGTTCGCCGCGCGCAGTTAAGGGTCAAGAAACATCGTAGCTGGTTCGAGAGCGATCGAGATCTATCTCGTGAAAATCCTCGAATGTTCAGGAACTTCCGCGATTCTCTCGCTCGAAGTTAGCTGTCGCGCGCTACTCCACGCTGGCAAAAAGTTATTATTTCGCACGAGATGATAAACGTCGAGAGGAAAGATCGTGTCCGCGAGAATCCGATCGACCAGAAGATCGCGCAGAGATTAATTATTATACTCGAGATCTACGTTGGAAGGCTGCCGATCTTTATGCAGCTGTATTATTGGTAATATTGTCTTATTTCTCGACAACACGTTAGTCGAATTGTCACGCTGTTAATATCATTATTAATTACTTTCCCGATAAGTTTTAAAACGAACACGTTTCGCGCAAATTTTCGCTGCAACATTCAGACAAATGCAGCTGTCGCGATATAAAAAATTGTCGCGCCTCTCTCGAGGAGTTCTGAAGTGATTTCTAAAATTAAAAATTTCCGAATTCGTACTTCGCATTATCGTTTCACAAAACTGTCTACTGCGAGGGTAAAATTTATCGTACAAGAAATATGAAAAATATCGAAAGCATTGAAAGTATGAAAAATATAAAAAATATAAAAGATATAAAAAATATTGAAACAACGAAGCTTGACTCAGACTCAAAAACAAAAGTAACAGCCTATCTCCTATAACTTGCAATCAACGTAGACCGTGTTTCCGCATAAAAATCCGCGGCGCGTCGGCGAGACGCAGCTAAAAGGTCGGCAAACGCAATTTGAAACGCAGCAAGCCCGACAAGGAAGACCGCAATTAGTTGCAAGAGAACCCGATTACAGGATAATTCGTTCAGCGATCGAGTTAACTTCGAAATTGCGACTCGATACTTTTTGCCAGCGCGGCG